GAATTCCCAACCTCACTCACCTTTCCCATGTCCGTGAAGTCGATGGCAATTGACTCACCGGGTCCATCAGGAATAGGCAGCGGTCTGAGCAGGCCATACGGCTTACGCCTGTGGACTTTGGTTCTGTGACATACCTGACATTCARCAATAAATTTCTGCTATGATAATTTCATCCCTGGCCAATCAAATTGTTGCAGAAGACTCCCRTAAGTCTTCTCAAAACCGAAATATCCACTCCGACCATATGCCAAATCCAGGAAATGAKTYYGGAGAGGCGCATGATTGGGAACACACAATCGATCAAACCTTCCGTACCGGYGGAATACAAGACCATCGCATTCATGAAAATTAGGCTGGCTGTTAGGGTCAGCCTTGAGCTGCTCAAGGATGTGACTAAGGTCCGGATCCTTGGCGGTGTGTTCGACCAGATCCTCCTTCAGTTTCCTACGGATGTCATACGAATCCACCAGGCAAGTCAAATACTCAGAATGGCGCGACAAAGCATCAGCAACACGATTATAACAGCCTTTCGTGTGTTTTAGTTCAAAGTTGAAGACATCAATGTCATGCAGCCAGCGGGTCAGCGTTGGAGAGAGATCAATTTGTGTCTTAATTCATTGCAAGGTCTGATGATTTGAATAGACCTTGAAATGGCAACCCAAGAGGTAGTGCTTCCAAAGTGTGAGCGCCTCACGCAAGGCGTAGAGCTCACGCATGTATATGGAGTAGCTACTTCGTGGCTGGACATGCATTTGCTGTAATACTCGAGCGGACGCAGGCCATCACCATCATCTTGTTGCAGCACTGCACCAATCTCAAACTGGCTCACGTCCGTAGTGACTACGAACGTGAGGTTAAAATCCGCAATGCAGAGCACAAGATGACTCACCAAAACCTCTTTCAAGGCTTGGAACGCAGTCTCACATTTCTCACATCACACATAAGCAACATTTTTACTTGCCAGTCTCGAGAGTGGGTGAGCAATAACAAAAAATCTGGGTACAAACTTCCGATAATAAGAAGCCAAACCAAGAAAAGAACGCAGCTCGCGTACATTTGCCGGTTGAGGTCAGTTTCGGATGACCTCAACCTTGGTTGCCTCCGGCTCAAGGCCGCTTGCAGACAACCGGTGCTCGAGATAGATGACACTGTCCCTACCAAACGCAGATTTATCCAAGTTGAGGTGCAGTTGAACATCTTTGAGGACTTGCAAGACCTCCTCAAGATGCTTGACGTGCTCATCCATGGACTTGCTGAAAATCTGAATGTGATCAAGATACACTACCACAAACTTGTTAAGCTGATGGCGGAGTAACTTGTCTATGAGACACTGAAATGTGGCTGGTGCATTCGTAAGACCGAAGGGCATGACGATGAATTCGTATAGCCCATCGCGTGTCTTGAATGCAGTTTTGTGTTGGTCGCTCGGATCAACTTCAATCTGGTGGTAGTCAGACTTGACGTCGATCTTGGAGAAGACNAATTGACTCACCGGGTCCATCAGGAATAGGCAGCGGTCTGAGCAGGCCATACGGCTTACGCCTGTGGACTTTGGTTCTGTGACATACCTGACATTCARCAATAAATTTCTGCTATGATAATTTCATCCCTGGCCAATCAAATTGTTGCAGAAGACTCCCRTAAGTCTTCTCAAAACCGAAATATCCACTCCGACCATATGCCAAATCCAGGAAATGAKTYYGGAGAGGCGCATGATTGGGAACACACAATCGATCAAACCTTCCGTACCGGYGGAATACAAGACCATCGCATTCATGAAAATTAGGCTGGCTGTTAGGGTCAGCCTTGAGCTGCTCAAGGATGTGACTAAGGTCCGGATCCTTGGCGGTGTGTTCGACCAGATCCTCCTTCAGTTTCCTACGGATGTCATACGAATCCACCAGGCAAGTCAAATACTCAGAATGGCGCGACAAAGCATCAGCAACACGATTATAACAGCCTTTCGTGTGTTTTAGTTCAAAGTTGAAGACATCAATGTCATGCAGCCAGCGGGTCAGCGTTGGAGAGAGATCAATTTGTGTCTTAATTCATTGCAAGGTCTGATGATTTGAATAGACCTTGAAATGGCAACCCAAGAGGTAGTGCTTCCAAAGTGTGAGCGCCTCACGCAAGGCGTAGAGCTCACGCATGTATATGGAGTAGCTACTTCGTGGCTGGACATGCATTTGCTGTAATACTCGAGCGGACGCAGGCCATCACCATCATCTTGTTGCAGCACTGCACCAATCTCAAACTGGCTCACGTCCGTAGTGACTACGAACGTGAGGTTAAAATCCGCAATGCAGAGCACAAGATGACTCACCAAAACCTCTTTCAAGGCTTGGAACGCAGTCTCACATTTCTCACATCACACATAAGCAACATTTTTACTTGCCAGTCTCGAGAGTGGGTGAGCAATAACAAAAAATCTGGGTACAAACTTCCGATAATAAGAAGCCAAACCAAGAAAAGAACGCAGCTCGCGTACATTTGCCGGTTGAGGTCAGTTTCGGATGACCTCAACCTTGGTTGCCTCCGGCTCAAGGCCGCTTGCAGACAACCGGTGCTCGAGATAGATGACACTGTCCCTACCAAACGCAGATTTATCCAAGTTGAGGTGCAGTTGAACATCTTTGAGGACTTGCAAGACCTCCTCAAGATGCTTGACGTGCTCATCCATGGACTTGCTGAAAATCTGAATGTGATCAAGATACACTACCACAAACTTGTTAAGCTGATGGCGGAGTAACTTGTCTATGAGACACTGAAATGTGGCTGGTGCATTCGTAAGACCGAAGGGCATGACGATGAATTCGTATAGCCCATCGCGTGTCTTGAATGCAGTTTTGTGYTGGTCGCTCGGATCAACTTCAATCTGGTGGTAGTCAGACTTGACGTCGATCTTGGAGAAGACCTTGCATCCACCTGCCGCATCCAACAGATCATCTATGCGGGCCAAAGGGTAAGCATTCTTTCTGGTGATCCGATTGAGGTCACGATAGTCAATACACATCCGGATTTTGCCCCCTTTCTTTGGCACGAATAGGACAGGTGCACCAAACTCAGATTCGCTAGGCCTAATCCATCCATGGTCGACCATGTCATCGATTTGTCTCTTTAATTCCTCCAACTCGCCTTGTCCCATGCGGTAGACGCAGCCCTTTGGAGGAACACTCCCTTCTATTATCTCGATTTTGTGCTTGACTAGACGCTCGGGAACTCCGCGAGGTTCAGCCAACACTTCAGGAAATCGATCTAATAGATGGCAAATGTTTACTGGGATTTCCGGTGGAGGATCATCCTCATCAAGAGAGAGAAAATCAGATTGGAAATTTACAGCAATTACAACCGGTTTCGAGGTATTTGGGGCAGAAATAGATTGATCATTTACAATAGAAGTAGGTGGAACARAAGTAGAAGTAGTAGAGGTAGAGTTACTTTTAGAGGAAGAGTTACTTTCAGAGGTAGAAAATGCAGCAAAAGTTGAAGGCACATGGAGAGGCTTTACAATAGCTATATGCACAAACTCAGCTTCCTTGCGCCTGCGCACKGACCTGCASATTTTGTTTGCACTTCGAAGAGTCACAGGGGACTTGCGCGTCTCATCTAATAAGACGGTACACTCGTTCCCCTTGGCATCAAGTACCACGAACTGATTGTCCGCCCACGTGGTCCTTAGGCAATGAGCCTTTAGCCAGCCCAAGCCAATGACCGAGTCGAAAGGACACTTGTCCATGACATAGAAATTCAGCTATCTGTGACAGTGCAGTCTTTGTCAAAGGTAATGCGCATACCTTTGACAACATGAGTGGAAGTGACAACCTCTTGGTTGCCCACCTGAGTCCGGCAAGGGTTCTGCGGTTCCACTTGCTTGATACCCAAGACCGCCTTACGAATCCCGTTCGGAGAGAAGAAATTAGTGGTTGAACCACTGTCAATCAGCACACAGATGTATCGGCGGTTAATGGGCAGTTTAAAGAAAGTCAGCTTCACGCTCCCCTGAACACGGCGTTGCTGCTTGAGCTGCAGCCAATGCTCCATGTGGGCATGGAAGTCAACTTCTTTAGACTCCTCCCAAGGCTCAGTCTATAACACTTGGACTGCACCAGCCTTGGAATCAGCATTAGTTCGGGCTTCAAGAGCAAGTTGCTGATCAGATTCAGGTTCCTCGGATGGGCCTGCAACTGACTGCTCAGCTTCCCTTGTCGTAGAGAGTGCTGATGTTTCCTCTACGCTCCTTGCCTGTTTCCCTAAAGACGATAGCAATCCTGCACAGCATGCCCAGGCTTTTGACAATGTAAGCATATGCGCAGTCTGGACCTTCTTTCCCATTCCTTTTGACTGATGCGGAGGGCTTCCCAAGGTTTGACAGAAGCATCCTCCAGTTTCTCAGGGATCTTCGCATTTTTAGGGAGGTGTACAACAGTTCCCCTACCCGAGCCACGGTTAGGCCCCTTGTTTGAAGCAGTCTTTTTTAATGCATTAAGTTTTTCATCTCCATTTCTGTCACACTCAATGGCTGATGTGGAGCAGCCCGTATCCGAGTCCGGCTCTAGATCGTCATCTAGAGACAGATCATCCGCGTAGGACTGATCTTCAGCCTCTCGATGTTCATGCAGGGCAAGCTGGTTGCTGCTTCCAAATCGCTTGCGTTGTGGTTTCCCACTTGCAGCGGGCGCCTTCTTGCGCCAGGCGAGGTCCTTGGCCTCTAGGTTGACTAGATCCTTCATGAGCTCTCGCCATGTGGCATGGTCTTTGAGTGCTAGTAGGGAGAGATCTTCTTTAAGGGCCACTCCCATGACTACATCCATACAAGACACATTAGTCATACCCAGGTCCAGAGTGGTGAACAGACCAGTCAAGTGTTGTTCCAAAGCCTGCATGGATGACCTCCATGTTTGGCCCTTGAGGGCCTAAAGCTTCAGCCTAGCCTTGAGCGCAGCATGTTTATCTTGGTACGGATCAAAGAGAAGGTCCTCAAGGGTGCGTACAGGGGTTACCTTCAGCCACTCTGTCAAGTCAATCCTCTCATAACCTGCAGCAACAACTTGGATCTCGATGTGGTTGCGTACGGCGGGCTCGGTATTAGTCCCCATGATCATACTTCGGTCCTCTTGCGGTGTTCGCATGACCTCGAAGTATGACCGCATGGAACTAATCCAAGAGGTAATGTCCGCCTTCCGGTCGTACTTGGACGGCAGCGTGGCCGCCCGCTTGTCCACCATGGGACCGTTGTACTGAACGCCAGCAAGGACTGTGGCGTTTTGGGCTGAGGTCCTTGCATTTAGGATCATTACCAGCGTAGAACTGGTGGCGCTGCCGCTCGAGGAGCTGACACCGGTTCCTGCACTTGCCATGGTTCCACTTGATCTTGCTATGAGGACTGTGTTTGATTGAGAGACCGGGACTACAACAGAGCGAGGGTTAGGGTGGCGGGGGGCAGACAGTTGGGACTGTTTGAGGCTGGTTATCTCAGCCTGCAGCTCTTGGTTCCGCTGCTCCAGCGCTGTTACACGGGCCTCGAGATCTTCCAAGTTCCGCAGTCGAACCAAGGCTGCGACGGCAGCAGCTAGCCTCTCCTGGAACCGGTCAGCATTGGCTTCCGGGACCTGTAGGAGGGCCTCCTGAGCAGCTATACTTGTAGCTCTAGCTGCTGCCTCCGCCTCCCTTTCCCTCTCTACGGCATCATCATACAACTTTTGGAAGAACGTTTTTTGGCTCTCGTCTGCTGCGTCCACCATGGCCTGGCATTGGACAGATGTGATGTCCGCCATGCCGGAGGAAGGGGTGTCAGTAGGTCTCTCAAAAGGAGTCCGCTCTCTCCTAACCTTTGGACGAACACTCCTCTTGCCCCTCCTCACACTCTCAAACAGAGCACCTTCTCTCTCCCTTTCTTCTCTTTTCGCTGTTTGCGCACGCGTCTTGGTGCCGAACATAGATAGTTCAGGTAAAAGAAACAAACTGAAAGTCACACAGAGAAGGAGGTAGGACTCCTAGCCGGAGCGGCGAATCTTTTGGACTTAGAGAATGACATGCAGTGGAACAAAAAAATTCATAAATAAATAAATAAATTAAATAGAACAGAAGAGAGGACTGATTTATAGAATGGGCCCGATCACATCAGCTGGAGATCCCCTCTTGTCTAACCCGACAGGGGACATGCATCACGATAAATCAGTCGAAGGAAACTAACTGCAGCAATGGAGATTTCAAGGGGTGCAGACGGTCGCCGAGCCAGACGCGGGCCAGTATGTGCTAACATGCGGTAAGGCCAGTCAAGATCCCCTTGACAGGAATGCCCTTGCTGTTCGTATGTCCCCCAAGTTCAGCACAGCAAAGTAATGCACTGGCGGCAACAGATCTGGGCCCAAAAGGTCCTGTCTCGTTGGGCCTGGTCCCACTGGGTCCCGAGGGGTCCCAAGTAGGTCGTGGACCAGGTCCAACGTGATAGGGGTACCAAGTCAGTCCCAAACTGCCTTTACCGTACTGAAAAGGAAAAGACAACTTTCAGTAAGAACTCGCCCCTACAGCCGTTCAGAAATGAAAAGACAATGCACCGTAGAAAGATATGTCATTTAGCACAGATACATCATCCATCCATCTACAGGTGAGAAAGCAATCCACATGCTCACAAACACAACCAAGACCACACAGAAGAGGAAGAGAACCCAGCACACCCCCAACAGGCCATGAAGCACCAAGCAACCTCCCACGGGCTTACCCAGGTCACATGGCACTTACCTGTGAGGCCCGGCCACAGAGAAGAAGAAGAAGAAGAAGAAGTACACCAGCAAGACCAATGACAATTTCCCCCTTCTCTCTCCACCTTCCTCCTCCTCCTTCAATCCGCCAATCTTATTCTTCTCTCAATAATAATAATAATAATAACAATGAATGGATGAACCAGAATCAATATCCGAAGTTCCCTCTTACTTCTGACTCACTCAACAACCAACAACAACAACAACAAGCCCACCATAGCTATGGCTTCCCTCCTTCAGCCTTCCCTCTCATGCATAGGCTATGGCGGACTGATGAGGGCCTTGCCCTCCTGTC